CATCCAATGTCGTCGTGGGTGCACATTGCTGAGAAGTCTCATACTAGGAGTAAAAAGCTGGTCAGTGCTCTCAGGTTTCCGATGTTCCTCCAACTGATGTCAGTTCATAATGAATTCCAACCTGATTTCTATATCATTCGAGACCATGAGAGACAGATAGACAAAATTAACGTAGGACTTCATACATAAATGCATCGGCTGAAGTTGCCATACTTCAAAGTAACATCGATTTCTACCACATGTGAGCAATGCTGAGAGGACACCTACCGTCAAAAACCTGTAATCTCTACACATCTAATTTCAACAACTGTATCAAATGAGATGGAGCAAACTACAGTGCAATATACTCGTGCTTTGATATGTAGTCACATATCCCATCAACTGAAGTTGATAAATGCTGAAAAGTCGTTTTGTATCCGAGGTGGTATTTCGTGAGCAACCAACCCGTTTGGGATGGTGCAAACTCCCCACTTAAGGGAGGTAATCAACGTATGCTACCAGTCCACTGTCTATGGTTAAACTGGGAGTAAATTTAGATCAGTCCTGAAGCCTAATCTTACATTTTCATAGATGAGAAACGTATGCCAAGCGTACTCAGTTTTCTGGTTAAGTTTTTCAGTAGACCCAGCATTTTTTCTGCGTCTTCATCCAACAAAAAAATTTCATGTGTATACTCTAAATCAATGAGATTGCATGAAGGAAGTAGGTCATACGGTTATATCCATTTGTATGTGTGTAACAAATCTAAACAAGAACATCGACAGTGACCATCCCTGGCGGATACCACTAGGTGTCATCAGTTTAGATATCAACTCCCCATAACTCCTTACATAGCTGCATAAATTCAAGTAGAGAGTTAAGATTAGCGTAATCTTGGTTATGCATCGAGAAAGCTACTGTCTCAGCCTATACATGCATACATATACGCTCTGAAGTATTAAGTGGATGTGGAATAAAGCGAAGATAATGATCATTATTTTTATTCGAACAGAAAGTACATCTTTAGAGAGAGAAAGACATCGTAATGACAATCAGTAAATCAATTGAAAAATAAACACAAAAAGCAACAGTTTCCACAGTGATAATGATCATATGAATAATTTAGCTATTTTTCAGTACATTGCTAAGTTTATAACTGATAGCAGACTGACATACGTACAGAAAAAGAAGGAAACCTCAAATGAATTAAGTATCCATATTCAAATGTAATGAAATAGGTGAAAATGATCTTCAACATGTGATATCTGAATAGATGAATCAATAACCGTCTATTACAAGTTGGTGTTCATTATAAACTGAGATCAGTTGAAGAAACATTAGAAACCTGTGAGCACTAGACAGCCGTTTCGTCCTAGTATGAAACTCCTTAGAAGTACGCAACCATGACATCGCCAGAGAGCGAACCCAGGATCTTCGGAAGTTGCGAAAATGGACCATTGGATTCCGACCCAGTGGCTGAATGGTAACGTGCTGACCATGGAACCTGAAGGTCCTGGGTTCGATCCCTGGCGCAGTAGGATCATGGATACGCACCGTTGGTGGGTCCCATACTAGGAGGAAACAGCTATCCAGTGTTTCTAGGTTTCCAATGTTCCTCCAAGTAATGTCAGTCATTGATGAATACAAACTTGAAATCAATGAATTCCCACAAACCCACTAATTGAATCGTCTATTCAATATATAATACGAACTTTTTTATGACTCACTAACAATAGATTATCACGACTGATGGTATAAACTTTCGACTGAGTTATATGAAATTCAAATTTTTTTAAATAATGAATACGATTTACTCTCTTGCTCAGTGAATTAAACTGAAAACAATTCAGTGCTCACCACCACTGCTCCTTATAATGTCCCTTCTTCTAACATCCTGTGTTTTTGAGACCTTTGACTCCATGACCATTCAGCACCTTACTGAAGGTCGTAGAAACTGAGCAAGTTTTTGACTTGCCTGACCATGCATTATTCAGACCTTCGAAAACTTCCAGAACAGGCAGGTATAGACATAGGTACCTGGCATCTGTTGTTCTTCCTGGTCTGGAATCGACAATCTGTTTCGTAGATTTTAAGTTTTTTAGACTGTGATATCACAACAGTTAAGTCTCAGGGGTGGGAGGGAATTGTCATCTGGGTATTTCCCACTACTCATCATATTCAACTTGTTTACAGATGTGCCGATAGATGTGGCCCTCTGACTTGCTAGATATTGACTTAATTCCTGGAGGGTTGACCCAGAAGACACAGAGGATATACAAAGACATTGACAAAATGCAGTTTTACTCTCATTTTGAGTGAAATATTGAGTGTTTCGCATGCATTTCATACCTATAAAATATAAGATAAGGCTTCAGGATTGGTCTGAATCTACTCCCAATGTAAGGATAGAGGGTGAGGTCGTAGAATTTGTTAGACCGTCTCACGTACTTGAGGAGTTTACATCAATCCATACTGGTTGGTTGCCAACAAAATATTAACTGGAATGCAAAAGGCCTTTTTGGCACTTACCAAATTGTTTCATCTTTGCCGCCAAGCATCAAAGTACGAGTATACTGCGCTGCAGTCTGCTCGATCCTGTTAAATGGATGTTAGATGTAGTCGTTGAAAATAGATGTATGATGATAACAGGTTTTTTATGGTAGATATCCTTTCAGCATTGTTCATTTATGGTCGAAATCACTGTGAGCAACGTTGAAGTTAGGCAAAGAACGCAAGTCAGTCTACTTAGGTGACTCGAACATGTGTTGCGCAGGCCTAGCCAACGCTTACCGTGTACGAAGGTGTCAACTGTCCATCTGGATTTCTCGAGATAATGGGAATTAGCAGTTGTAAACCCCTGGTGATATGACTGGTAATCAGTCACAATGGCCCAAATGTATTCACTCTTCGACGTCTTCTAGAGTTTAAACATTCTCACGGATTTTTTTCCCCAACTTCCCTCTTCATCTCTCTTTAATGTGACTCTTTTTCTATCCACTTGTTCTTTGCTTTCTGGTGTGAAGCGTGGCAACTTGCACCGATGCACTTCTTTCCGATGTTCTACATTGGATGGTAGTGTGTAGTAGATATACCCTTTGTATATAACAAAGTACTAGGCGAGGAAAAGTAGTTAGTGGATTTTGTTGTAAACCTAAACGTTTCGCTCATACTAAGCCACCACCTTCGCCTTCCAACGGTAATAGCTTATTAGGTATTTGGATGTGAAAAGCCGAAAGTGACTGAACCAGAACATAGCACCAATTCATAAACTCTCTGAATAATTACTCAGAGCTAACGAAGGGATGATTGCTGGATTAGGATCCTCCAAATGTTAAGAGTTTAGGGTTAATGGTTCTATACGACAATGCTAACTCATCGACAAAAATGCAAATGTGCTCATAACAGCTCATCTTCAGAAGTTTTTTGGATTTCACTAACTTTCTTTGCTTTCGACACTTTTTGTATGCTTAAGTGTCGTACTGTTTTATTGTTGTTCACATTGTGTTGTGAAATGTGGCTATTCGACAGCTAGGAATTGACTGTGCTGTGTTTTTAGTAGGGTATTTCTGTAGGGTGACCCATGAATGTGGTACGCTAATATAGGAGATTTCAGTTTTCTAATTTGAAGGTTATTACCGAATAACAAGAATTATTATACAACTTGTCGTTAATTTGAGTTTTTAAAGTCTAACTGACGCACGTGAAACACTAGTGTGATGGTAAAACTTGGATACCGTAGTTCAGTGTAGTTCACAGTATACACAGTGATGTAGTAGAATTACGTTTGGAGCAAAATTTATTGCGCATAATCATATGTCTATGTGTGCTATATCCAATAACCAGTGTAATATGGAACTAATATGATAAATTTAGGTCAAGTACGATGTGTAGGCAGTTTCAACATTCAGCTAATTTGTTCAGAAATGAACGCTGTCTTTGTGTCTCAATTCTTCTCACCAAAACTTGTTCAAAGTAGCTTTTATGAAAAGGTTATGAAATCTCATTTTCAATGTAACTGGAAAAAAAATCAATAGTTTGTTATTTAGATTTTGGTGACTAGCAGAGGAATCCAGGACACGCGTTTTATCCTACTTGGGACTCGTCAGCTGGATGTACCTGCACCCCATTGAGTGTTGTTGTCCCCACTGAGACTCGAACTTGATAACGCCAGAGAGTTATCTAGTAAGCCACTGGTACACAATAACCACCTCTTTTGCTCTGGGTATCAGTTGTTGTATCGATACTTGTAATTTCCCGTCGCTATACTGGACCGAATTGCTCGACCCCTGTTGACAGTCTTTGATATGGCATTAAAGATACAGCAAATAACTACTAGATTCTTCAAAATTTGATGTATCTGTTCACAAAACTAGCTTTATAAATAGTATGAATGAATGAATCATGAAATTTATTTAGAGGTTAGATTGGGATTTCATTTTTGAGGTAGTATTCATCACGGACTGTATATCACAAATTGACGGAGGTAGGGAACTGTGAACTGTTGAACTCTGACCCGGTGTCTGAATGGTTAACGCGTTCGCCGTGAAAACTGAAGGCCCTGAATTCAATCTCTGGCGAGGTCATGGGTGCACACTGCTGAAGAGCTTCATGGCAGGACGAAACAGGTGTCCAGTGCTCCCATGTTGCCAGTGGTTTTCCAAGTAATATCAGTCCGTCATGAATACCACTTTAAATCTTAAATGTGTTAATTTTTTTTTAACAGAAAGCACTGAGCGTAACTTGCCGGTAGAATTATGTTTGGATATATGATACCATAATCACTACCGTTAGACATTAATCCTTAAGTGTATATTTCATCATGAGTTTTCCAGTGTATAATTTAAACGAGCAACCTCTCGGACTTTTTCCCCACGAATTATAATCCTTTCAATTGATGCGATTATTGTTCTACTGCCCCAATATTTTTGTTATGTTAAAGAATCACATAATTAGTATTGGACGGTGTATCGTTTCTCACTTTTCTGCTTCATTCTCTTTGGCGTATTTGATGATTGATATAGAAGAGGCAGTTAATGGAGATGGTGAAGCAGAAAGGAATTATCAAGTAGACACTGAACAATCGAATAGCCCTACGGAAAATCAAGAAAATCATTCCCCAGAACCATCTCCAATGTATACAAAAGTTACTGATTCCAGATCTCAGCTACATAATAATGGATCCATACGAAATAATCCTCGTCAAACACGACATAGTCTTACGATTGCAGAAAGACTACGTGCAAGAAATGGTATCAATGAAGCAGCTCATACAATTAATCGCCAAAATGTTATCGATGAAGTACGTGCTGCACAGACTATGTATTTGAGGCGTAGACAAGTTAGTCTCGAAGATACTGTGTCCCGTGTTCCTATCCATTCAGATACTGTGAGTTCCTTTTACTGTAAATACGTTTTTAATAAATTACATTATTCTGTACTTATGTAGGTCACATAATAAACATATATGCACCTCGTTCTCTCAGTCGTACATTACTAAAGAGGGAAAACGTTTTGTACCCCATGTACGACCACAAATGCATCGCATATAGGTTGACAAAGTCAGACTAATACATAATATTAGCCGTCTGAAACGATGCACCTAAAAATACCATCACTGTTTCATATTAGAGTTGTTTATTTGTTATATAGCACATAGTGATACAGTATTATTTAGTTGATGACGTTTCGAACCAAGATATCGGTTGATGAAATCATATTAGGCGTACAATTGTGCTAGACCTCCACAATCTTCAAGTTTCAGGAAAAAAATATGTAGACAAACAAGGAGTAACAATAGGATCATCAATATCCCGAATCGTAGCAGATCGATTTATGGATAGTTGGGAAAACATGGCTTTAAAAACACATAGTCTTGAACCTAAGATATGGTGGCGATATGTGGAAGACATATTCACTGTGTTGAAATCGGAACAAATCGATAGTTTCCTCACACATATAAACTCAGTAGTGGACGCGATCCAATTCACTTACGAGGTAGAAAATGAACAAGGAGAATTATCTATATTGGATTACAAAATGAAACGAAAGACCGACGGTTGTTTGCTTACTACTATCTACAGGAAACCGACACATTCTAACAGGTATCTAGATTTCAAATCATCTCATTCGATGTCAATGAAGGCGGGTTTAGTCAAATGTCTAAATGATAGAGCTAGAAAACTAGCTAGTCAGTGCAAGGACCTAAACAAGGTACTGAAACACGTAAAAGAAGCACTAATAGTTAATAAATATTCCCTACAGTTTATTAAGAAACTCGTGGGAAAACATAGGAAACAAAATAATAACATCAATACAAATACAAATAATGGCAACAATACGATTAGAAAGGAGTTTAAAGCTTCTATAGTGTTACCACATAAGGAAGGAACATTCGAAACTTTACGTAGGATCCTCAACAAGGCTGGTATTAGGGTGGCATTTAAACCTGCAAACTCAGAGAAGCTTTTCCGACTGGCTTAAAGATCCGATAGATCCAATTAAACAAAATAGTCTAGCTTACCAAACTCCATACAATGACTGTGAGGTCAAGTACATCGATGAAACTAGCCAGTTGGCGGCAGTTAGATTAACGGAACATAGAAATTCAGGTAAATATATAATGATAGACCCGAATAAGACCAGTAATCTAGAAAAAAACTCGGCTACTGCAATGTATACAATAACACACAACCACATACAATAGTGTGGGATAAAACCACTGTACTTGAGTGCAATATAACTAGGTGGGGAGAGAGATTGATTACCAAACCTTTATTCATGGAATCAGTCAACACCCAACACATGTCATAGAAATGACGCAACACCTATAGCAGAGATATAGGAAGTGCTTTGTGATGACACTAATGTGATTATGAGCAATAATCATTTATGCTCGAAACGGTGTCATCAAGTAAATAATACTGTATCACTGTGCGCTATATATCAAATAAACAAATCTAATATGGAGTTACATTCTATCATAGTGCCCAAGTTTTACACTTACAGTGTTATACTCTAAAACTTTGAGTTTTATGTAACAGTAACAGCTTATTCATCTACTAAGCTAAGAAATTTTACAAACCGTCAAGCCCCCAGCCTTAGCTGGAAGCAGCCGAATTTCAAATGTGTATAGTCAGAAGTAAACAGAAGATAATTCAGCGAAGAAAAAATTTTTTCAATGATAACATTTTCTAAAGTTGTAAAATCGTATTTATGTGCATATCACAAACACAACAAGGGATAGTTGCATCATTAAGCTAGCACTTAAAAATGGAATCAAGAGTGGGAAGTACTTGTGTCGTAATCTTTTAAGACAAAGGATATTATAATGAGAAAGACAAGGAGTTTGGCAAGGTGAAAATCGTTGCTAGATTTGAAATGCATTTGATAGATATAAATAAGGTGAAACAAGAAACAAGGGTCATAATGAATAGGTGATAATAGTAAACTAACTAATTATAATGAAACGGAAAAAGTTTGTAAATGTTAAGGCCATAGAGATTAAACATACTTCTTATGGATATGGTGATCAGGCTTGAATTTGTGAATTGCCAGTGCCTCTATTGTGTACAACTATCAAAGCGTGCTTCTTTTAAACTATTTCCTTTGACTCTTTAAATAACGCTGAAGAAGGACTCTAGTGGTGCTATGTGTCTAGAGTTGACCAAATGTTCAAGAATTGGAGCGTTAATTGATTTACATTCTCCCCTTAACAAACATGCAGAATTGTACCCAGAGATAGGTTTGGGAGGTGCATGCTTTGTGCGATCTATTTACCTAGCTCTACAAGAGGAAATACATTTGTAGACACACAATGAGGTGGCCCAAAGCAGAAACTTCTTAACACACCACAGAACCAATTGGTGACTAAAGAAGCTGATGTATAGCGTCACAGAGAAAGATGTCTTCACACTATTGTGAGAACTTTAGACTGAGTGTAAGAATGATAATAAGATATATTGGGTAACGGTGAAATCATCGATGAACATTTCTCCCTATTTGAGGCACGTCAGACGAATGTACCTGCCTCACAGTAAATGATTTTGTCCACACCCTTACCCAACACCCATCCTCATTCTGATAATATATGAAAGAAAATACTGCATATATTCTTTGTTGATACCTTTGACTTTGGCTTAGGTTGCTTCCACTGAAAGTTTAAACTCTAGTTACAACAAGCTTACAAATCACTATGACTTAATCATTGAATAATAACTGACTTTCTCATTTATGTCTGTTTCTGCCTACAAAGTTGGGAATAGCAATGTGGCGTGTCTAGTATTTAGGATGATAAGTAATCCTAACTAGTTGCAACTGAAACACCGTCCAAAATTAGCTTCTAACCACGGCTTAGACTTGAGTTTCTTTGCGGTTGCCTATAAGAGTGTCTGTTTACCAAAAACCTAAGCTACGTTCTCTTGTTAGCATCACTGAAACTGACTCAACGGTTGAAACTTACGGCTAATAATCGTTTAGTTCCATCATTTTCTCACTTATTTTTTTAGTGGAGCTATCGCTCATTGGTTAAGACAGTTAATTTTCAACAACCCTCCATCTACCAAGGTTTGGTCAGTCAGGTAGCATTATTAGCCGTCACACAGTTGGTGTGACTGATTGCTTACTGTACGAAAGTTCACAAGGTTGCTGGGTGGATTTCGATTTTTGTTACTTATTTTAAGTTTAGGAAACCTAGTAGCATTATCATTTCTTACAATAAATAAATATATACCAGGTGAATGAGTTATTGTCTGTCACTATGCCACAAAATAAATTATGCACTTTGAAATGGTTTGATTTCTTTTTTCATGTTGTGGAGAATATCCGTTCACAGACAGTAGCAACCATATACATGTTTGTGAGGTATTCACCTAATTTGGCAAGTCGATTGACGAGGTTGTAAACGTTAGTCGACTGAGATGGCTTGAACATGGACTGCTCATCCCGAGCTACCACCTACCACTAGGTGCTATGCTGGGGGAAGTTGGATTACTATGGAAAAAGGTTCAGAGTGGCTAGACCAAAACCTGACACAAATCAAGGAAGTCCCTGACTGTTGACTTGAGCCATGTTGGAAGATGTAGACTACCTGGTTGGGGTTGCTGAGACGAAAGGAATCAGTGGTTGAAGACACTTGGTGAAATGGTTAAAAACTGGTTACAGTGGTGCAAATGTATTCACTGCTTGACATCTTCTAAAGCTTGAATATTTGTACTAACCGTTATCTTCAAATTGTTTATTCTTTCACACTACTTTGTCTTCTTTGATATCACTCCTTTCGTATCGACGTTTTCTATGCACCTGTTCTTTTTGCACTTCTGTGAAGTGTGGTAACTTGAGCCGATGCATTCCTCTGCATCAGTCAGTCAGTCTTAATTATTTTGTGGGGGCTAATGATACTAACTTGCCACCGGAGCGGTGTTGAAACCCGTGACTATATATGGGGATAACGATTTATTGTTAAATCCGTGAGAAATGGAATTACACACTTTCTGGAGTTTTCTTTGTCAGTGTATACTTTCTTGACGTACATGTCTGCTTAGTAGATAGAGGGAAGTACTTACTAATGATACTTAGTAAAGGTTAGCTCGTATGTGGTTCTGTTTTGTTCTCATAATAGTTAGTGTATTATCCTATCACCCAGGTGGGATGATATAAACAAACCGTCTCCTCATAGGTTATATATACTCGGCTTTGAATCGCATTTAATGTGTGATGCTGAGCGGTTGCTTAGGATAGTAATAGGTGAAATGACATTTTGAGCCCTGAACTTAGCTTACGCCGGTGAACCAAGTTTTCACTAGATGGCGTTCTAATCTCTGACTGCCAGTCTTATTGTAAACACTTGCTTGTGTTCACAGTTCTTTTCCCCTTTTTCAAGTTGATTTAGATGACTAGTTCGATTCTGTATGCTAATCATAGGATTATTACAATAATTGCATTGCTTGTCATCTTTATGTGAGGATGACGAAATAATTTGTTTTGAACTGTTTTCTGACATTATTTTTCACCTCTTTTGTATTACATTTCGTTTGTTTGCTTCATGTCCTAGTGTGTGTGTGTGTGTGCACGTATGGTATTGAAGTAACATTTGACACTAATTATGCACTGGCAGTAAATTAGGTTGATGAAGTGTGTGAATTGCGTGTAAAACTACATGCAGACTGGATTGATATAAGACACTACATCACTTGTTAACTCAGCGTCATTTATCGCCGGTAAGTCTGATCAGATATCGATTAAATAGTCATTAACATGCATGAATGTATGCATCCATTTACTGGAACGTCTTGTCCATTTTGTAATTCATAATTAGGTGCTTGATACTAACAATCCGCTATATATATATATATATATATATATATATATATATATATATATATATATATA